AATGACCATGCCACACGTAAAAATCGACTGTCTCCTAAAACTGTCTCCGTTGGAGGTGGTTGGTGTTGTCATGTTCTTCTTGAATGGAAGGTAGAAAAGTTGCCAGAGCCTGAGACAGGTTGAACTTCTACACGTCAGATGGCGACACCACCTATTTACACCTCCACAGTTTAAGCATGAGCTAGAGGGAAGGGAAATATATATATTCTCCAGCACCCATGATTTCTACTGCAACCCCCTTCAGGGCTTTCGGACCCAAAGTAAAACATATTCAAAATAATTTTCTTTGGCATAAATAATGCAAACAAAAATTTCTCATTCTACAGGTTCCTTCCCTTATATCCTACTCAACATGTGCCGGAAAGATGAACATTTACATTACTCTGTGAGATGTGCATACCCTGAGTGTTCACAGTTTTCTGGCTACTCCTTCTGGGTACTGCATTTTCAATGTCATCAATGTATGTACAAGATTTATACAATATTTTTGTTGCTGTTTTTTTTATTGATTTTACCTGCAGTTTTTTATCATTTTATTTATGTATTCCTTAATTTTTTAGTTATAATACAAAAATAACCTAAATGGCTGAAAAAACTTGTACCACTTTTAGGAATGAAAAGTGTGTGAGAGGGAAAGAATTAAACTAGTTATTTAAGAAAAACTGATTACCCACTTATATTGTTTTTTATTATTAATATTCTCAATTTTCTATAATGCCACAAGACAAAAATTAAAAACCCCGTAATAGTATAAGAAGGAATAATTTTACAAGAAGAGATATCTTTTACATTTGAATTACATTTTCTGTTTTATCATTCTTGCAAATATTAAAAATTATCAGAACTCATAAAAGTATTTTATAAAATAAAAAAAGTAAGAAAATAAAGAACGATATTTTTTAGTTTAGGGGATATATGATTGGCATGATTCTAACCAAATAACATTTTCTTAAATTATTAAATAACTATGTGCGGAATTATGTAAAAAGAAATTCAATTTTTTGTGATATATATATATTTAAAATTATATATAAGTAAAATTATTCTATGATTAGGTTCATTTGTCAGAAATTTCATGATAATATTTTTTTTTATCATTATAAGGATCAGGAGTCTCGATCGCCAATATCGCCAAACATAAAAACAAAATAATTATTTTTATACGGAGCAGTTTAGAAAATCTGATGCTATATTTTTCTTTCCGATTCAAAACGAACAAAGCCACATTCTTGTAGCTCCAGACAGAGAGGTACACATCAAAGAAGAGATTTTTATCCTTTTTGTGTTCTTTGGAATTCTCTGTTTGAATGCAAATGTCACGTACCTTCTGTAGGTAAAAGTATTTACATTTAACATTTGGGGAAAAATACATGTCCGAAAATAAGAGAAATTGTGCCTAACATATAGCAGCTGCGATCGTTCTTTTAATACTTGACAACTAACCATTGTGTCTTGATTGATCACTAAGTTTTTTATGCAAATTCCCATCTGTGAAAAAGATACCAAACGGGATTGTGTCGGTGAATTATTATGAATAGTTAGGCAATATGTGCATTCTTACGCTTCTGTAATATGACTCTTCATTTGATACAAAGTGAATTCAAATATATATTTCCAATACATTCTTTTAACTACATGTCTTTGTTCTATCTGACAAGCCGATCAAATGCATATGATCTATATTTAATGGCATTTTAGAAAATGATTTGAGACGTATTAAAAGTCTGACGCAACAGTTTCGTTACATTTTGCAAAAAAGAAAATTAGTTGCTGTATTTTGAAATGACGCAAGAAAGGTGACATTGAGATGAAAGCAGTCTTCCCCTTTTAGGATTTTTGTTCGGTTTCCTCCGATGATATATTTCTGTAATTTTAATTATTATTTATTACAGAATTCATTTATTATACACGTCGGTTTTTATTTTATTGAAAACTTTCATAATTCTTCGTGTACCACAAAGTATCACACGAGGCATACAAAGAGCGACATAACCATCCTGTGATGACTATGTCTAGTAGGATCCGCGTAAGCTAGAGGTGTGGGATTATCTAAATGATGAGACATTTTGGATTCTTAACACAACTTTTATTAAGAATAACTTATATTACTTAATTCTAATTAACAACTTTCTTAAAGTGAGAGTTAACACCCAATTAAACCTTATATTCAAGTCAGATCGCACAACTAGATCACTTATCTTAATTATAATAAATTAACTGATTAATCTAACTTCCTATACAAAATATTACCTTTTGTAGAGTCACCTTCCTTCATCGATTGAGGTAATTCCTATTATATTGATAATAGGTGAGAAGATTCAGGTTTTCTTAATATTTAATATATTCAATTACGATGAGCGTATCCTTCTTCCAAAGCTGTAGGACGTCTAACCTTTATTCCAAACAATTCCGCACTAAGTTATCTCTAGGCTTGCCACTCTATCTCATCAAAGCTTCTATCCTTTTAAAGTATATCTCATTTGCATATTCGATCCGTTTCTCTTCTTGGTATTGGGTTGGAAAAGTTTTGCCATTAATCGTGGCCGTCAAAGAACTTAGGAGTTATGTTAGAAGAAGGACGCGAGAGACGTCAAAAAAGTAAGTATGCAAAAATGAAAAATTACAAAATGAAAATAAAAAGAAAATTTAAAAGTTACGAAGGATTAGAAATGTTTACGACGAATTTACAAAAATGGCAAAAGGCACTTCTAGTGGAAATAAGTTGGTGAAAATCTAGCTTATTTATATTGATGCCCTTGAGCAGTGGCGTAGCGTGGGCTTTCACCGCCTGGGGTCGACCGGAAATTTGTCGCCTCTCTAGTTTAATTATTAGTCAAGAAAATTAATAAAAGTGAAAAAAAAAAAGCAGCTTTAAATTTTTTTTTATTGACTAAAAATGCACTTTTCGTCTTTTTTTCATCGCAGAATCTTTTATACAATTGTCAACATCAATATGTATATCATGTTCAATTGCCAGAATAGCTATATTTGTTAGTCTTAACGTGGACATAGTCGATGTGAGATAATTTTTCATTATAATTTTAGCTTAGAGAAACTTCTCTCGCAACTGGCATTACTAATGGCAGATGTTAAAAAAATTCTCAACATTATGAGCCATCTTCAAGTTTGGACTCAATAATATGTTTTTTAATAAACCCAGGGAGCCGGACCTAATGAGTTCTTTTTACAGCCTGGGTCTGTTGCAGCTACGAAAGCTTGTAGACGTACGCGCTCAAGTTTGAATTCAAGAAAGAATTCTTCTTTATTAATGTCTTGAGGAGCTTGATCTAAGTTAAGTTCATCCATGCTCAATATCACTTCAGGTCTTAAAAAAGCATGTTTTTGCGCTAGAGTTTGCAATTGTTGAAATCTTTAACGATTTTCAGCCGTTACTCTGTCTATTGTGAAGAAAACATTATTCGCCTCAAGTTATCTTCCTACGATAACTGAACATCTTTACTTCCGTTGCCAAATATATTCTTCCTCCTGATTCGTCTTGGGGGTTAAAAAGAAATTTCAAGCTCTTCACATACACTTTTAACATATATTAAAGCTTCATCCACGAAATCCTCTCGTTTTGCTTCTAATACCGTCTGTAAAGCGTGCATTTTTGAGCACATTGATGGATATTTAGTCCCTCTGCTTGCAAATAATTTTGAGCATCATTGACTTCACACAGTACCGGTTGCTAAGAGCCGCAGTAACATAAAAACGAATGCGATTGCATAGCGACTAATAAACTTCCTGCATCTGTGAGTGTATTAAAGCTTTCACTCATTACCGTCAGTTTCCAAGGGCGCGATTTGGGGTTTGAAATATTTTTTGAATTTAAATATCGTGGTGTTTGCCGCCACCCCTTTTCGTATACCGCCTGGGGCCATGACCCCCTCTGCACCCCGCCCTTGAGAGGCAATCCTAGGGTCTTTCTTTTTCTGACAAACTTGGTACACAGAATTATACATTTCCTTCAATTCACATTTCTCCAATCTCAGGAAGATGACTGAATCAAATTAAATTTGTTCAAATAACTTTTAAAGTTACCGTGACCAGTGAGAAATTGGATTATTTTGTGAATAGTAAAAAAAAAATTATTGCACGACGATCTCTTATTGATGTATGGCAAAATTCCTTTGTTACGTTCCCTTTATTTGAAATAAGATATGTTGTTGTTCCTTATCCGAGATAGTGTACAGCAGGGATGAGAGTATTAAATCGATTGCGATCGACAGGTGACCCGCCAAGACTTTTGGGGGTGACCGCCTTTACTAGGACCTAAGACACGCATGCTAAAAGAAACAATTATGGAATACCGATGCCATCCAGACAGGAGAATCGGCTTTTCACATCCGATGCAATTGTATTAACTTAAGCAAATGATTCGATAAACGTGCTGATGACACATGTACTTTCACTGGAAGCCGAAGATGACGCTTAATACGTTCACTGTCACTGTAAGGGAAAAGACAATCCCTGCTATGCCAGCCGTATAAATGAATTTTTTCCCACACGCAGACTGAAGGGGAGAATAAATGTTGATTATCAGCTGTTCCCACGATAGCACGGGATTAGCTATTGAGACATCATCCCACGCCCGCGCTTCTACGGGATTGAGTTCTCGTATTGATGTCATGTCCGGCGATGGCGTGGGACTCGGCAGCTTGGTTCATCGGCTCGCTGCATTGAATACGTTCACGATTCATGGTCTAGTAGTAATCTGACATATTTTAAAATACGGATACAATGTTGAAAATAAGTGTTAAGAAAAGAAAGCATGCAATTTTAATGCAGAATGGCCAGGTCTACGACGCTGGGTGGACCGCAGCACCTGAAAAACTTTAAAAGTACCCCTTACCCAGAAAAAGTTTGCCCATTCCTCTGGTGTAGAGCTACACTATCTCCATAAAACCACATATCACTAAAAAATTCCAAAAATAAAATAGGATTCTTTAAAACCTCACCAATAGTAAAATTCAAGCAATTAAGAGTATGACTGTCGCCCAGCCAGTATGGTGGATATGACCCTTGGCTTGTAACCGAGTGGGCTCGAGTTCGATTCTCGAATAAGGCATAGATGTATCTTCGGGAAAAGAAGTCGGACTTTCGCCTGTAATGGATTCCCGTCTCGAATGGAAAGCAGAGCACCCTTTCTGTTCTATGCTGAGATCCTCGTTTGTAAAAAAAAATATATTCTTCTGTGTTTGTGTTGTATGTTTCTGTTCTTCCATCTCTCGTCTTTCATATGTATCCCAGGATAAAACACACGACAACAACAACAATATGAACGGGAAAGGCTTGATCAGCCTTGCTGCGATTGCACTCTGGAAAGACTTTCCGGCCCCGTTGAAAAGTAATAAACCATGTGACCATAAAAAAAGCGTGATATTGCCGTCTGCTGACTTCTAGGAATATTGAGCTTCTGATACCAACGAAGGTATTTTCAAAATGCGTTTAATTTCATTTTTTATGGAGGAGATTTCAGTAAAAGATAGACAAGCGTTTTCCTGCAAGGCGTCAGCAGTGGCAGACTTGGCCAAACTATCGGCTATCTCGCTACCATTTTCAGAAATGAGATATTCTTATTTTCAAGACTCCACCGTTCTTCCTCTCATAACCTTCTTAAAAAAGAATTTAGGAATATTAACGGCCATGTCAACTACACATCAGTTAGGGAGCCAACATATTACGGTGCTAATAAGTTTATTATGATAACAATAAGAGCCAAGTGTGAGCATAATTTATTGATAAAATGTTTAGAAGTAATTAACTTAGCGAGGAGTGATTAGATTTGACTATGCAGGGATTAATGAAAGCTGACAAAACACTAAAGAAAAATCTTAACGGGATTGTAAATGATAGTATCATCAATTAACGCATGTGTTTCGTTTTGTTTCT